CCAGCCATGGCACGTTGCTCTCGCGAGCTGAAACACAAAAAAAACAGAATAAGCAATTTAACACACATAACACCAAAATGTCCCCGCGTACAACTTGACGTCAGAAAAAAACGTCCAGACGAAAAGCGTTAGCACCGATGACAGGACGCAAACCAATAGATCGTCAGCTTAAGTGAAGTACGCGCCGTCAAGTCACTTGACCGCTAAAGCTAAAGCTGCATCAGTTAACAGAGACGATAACGCTTGTTCTGCATGAATGGGCATCGACGGACCGAAATCCAATGCAAAAAACGACTAGCGTTAAAAAACACATATCGGCATTGAGCCAAAGAAGCGCAGGCATATTTTACGAATAAACGAAACCAGAGGCAAACAGAAATAGAATCACAAATACAAATACCGTAGAAACACTATGCTACATCACGTCACGACTGACCGGTTGACCATATGAAGAAAGTTCCTAGAGTGTTCGTGTTTCTGATGACGAACTTGATATTAAGCTGTTTGCACAACAAGCTGAGAAGCACAACATATTTGGTCTGTGATGTCTGTTGTGATCGCAGTTTTATATCATTTTTACTATAAGACCATTTAGAATATTTCTTTCTGCGAAGCAGTAATTAGTGTCCCCAAACAACGATCTTCAATACATTCACTGCGGTTTGCAACCGAGAACTTTCTTCTCTCATACAGCTGCAAGCAGGGATTATAAGTGATTTCTGCCTGAAGTAACCCACAGAATATCAAGCCAGCTACGAGTGACTGGCATAATTTTTAAAATCGCAATTACATATACAATGATATCAGAAACAAAAAATGAAATCTAGAGTAAACTGATAAATACAATCAATAAATACATATTCTGTCACTTCTTCGGATTTGTACATTTGATCCGGCGTAGTCGCAGCGTCGCCTTGCATTTAGTAACGCAGAAGACTATTTATGAAGGCCACAATTCTACGGTCACATTATAACACTTGCAGTGCCCATGAGCAAAACCGTACCAAAAACGGTTATTGTTCGACATATCAAAATAACGCTGCTTTGATTCAGCATTTCTTATCGTCAGATACGCATTTAATCTGGAACGTAAGCATAAGTCGATTTTCGGCCGAGACCTGCCTCATATATAATTTAGTTTCTCATCATGTAAAATCTTCCTGTTGTTTCTTTGTAAATTTTCTTCTTCTTTCCCTTCACCACCAACAACCAGGACAACTAACTGTGGTATTCTTGACCAAATAAGTAAATTACATTCAACTAAATAGAATTCAATGTCAGGTCAGTATCAAGAGTTAAAAGTCAGTATAAACAGTGTACCAGTTGCGATAATCACCTAAACATGCAAACTGTTGAGCATGGGGACAGAAATGAGCTGTGAAAACAAACAACAGAAAAAGACACACAAGATTATAAATAAACACATACAAAAGATGTTTACGAACTGACTGAGTAACAACGTGTATTCAAAACCTGGTCACTTTCAGCTTTTAGAAACGAGCTTCCGTCGTCGCTCCCAATCGCCCATGATCGACCCTTAGTGGAAATACCATTCGATGCGAGGCGGATCAGCGAACAAAAGTAGTCGTACGGGCGATGACAGCCGCATTTTAAAATCGATGCCAACAGCTCAGCCCTGAAATCTCGATGACACGGATCTAACGCTGTGAGACCCTCGTCGAATACCAGGAAAATCAGACGAAGCAGTTGTTTTTTCACGGTGACGGTATAAGCGATCCGTGATAAAAAAATATGAAACACTGAATACCAGACGGATTTCGCGTGCCGTCGACACAGTATTTTTAGGCGATAACGAACAGCTACTGAAATGACACTGCATGAAGATGGTTGTTTCCCCGACATGAAGAAACTGACTTAAACGGTGCTGAATGACGACGATGTCGACGACTGTAAATGACAAAGATCATTCTTTCCGTCGCATCGAACAGCAACTCATCATAAGCCTTACTGGCGGTTTACACAACCATGCCATTAAGGACAGGATCGCGAATAATAATGGTGATGAAATTCCGTGATGAAAAGTATGATGACAACTGTGGTGATGAGCATGACGATGTTGGTCATAATGACTGTGATAGTCACCACAGCAAAAACGATGGTCATGAGCCTTGATGATAACAGTGTGGCATTTACCAGAAGAAATCCGCGACCAGACCATTAAGACTCAAGAGACGTACGTCCGCATGATGCGAAAAACCGGCAGAGACAGAAATGCAAATGCGTCCAAACATTTTCATGAGAAATCTCAACTGAGCGTAAAAACATTGGAGGGAAATACAAAACTTCACATCACTACGAGGAGGAAGATCAGCTTGTGACGAAAAATATAACCATAACAGCAGCAACGAAAGCTGATTAATATAAATTTGAGATATCGCTTCTGATTGCTAGAAACAGAAAATCCGGGCAAATCCGTATGTAGGTTCTTGTTTCGTTGCCGCAATCTGAGATCAACAGATTAACAGTAGAATAAGCCAGATTCATGATATCGCAAGTACTTATGCTACAAGGTACAGACACATGTGCTTTCGCAAAAGAATATTTACTTCTACAACGCAGTAAGCGATGCCTTATAGGAAAAAGCGATGCATTATACGAACACAACTGACATCACAAACTAGCGATGTTCTGCTTATGCAAAGGCTCCAACTCATGATCACCCACACGTATGTACGTAATTCTGTACGTAAGCATGTATAACTACATGTATGTAGCTATGTATAAATGTATGTATATATGTGCGCATGTATGTATATATGTGTGCATATGTATGTATGTATGATTTTGTAACTGGGGCAGCGATGGTGATTGCGGTCATAACTCAATCGACGTCATCGGCGTGAGTAACAACCTGGTCCGACATGTCCTTTTTACATGTGCGCCATGAATACAAATCGAAGATTCCACAGCATCTGTGCATCGGTGACCAGTTAGCTGGACTCTCGATCGTCCCAGTGTGTTGCCGTATGACCGAGTGAAAGTTTATGATGCAGCGGAGCTAGTGTCAATTCTGGACCTCTACAGGTTGTCGCTCAGGCGATTCACATCGCCTGTCCACCTTCTCGTTTGTCATAGAAGGCAGATATCACGCCTGTTAACTCAGTCAGTGTGGAATTTCTGACACCGCGACATGAAAGGAGAAGCTGCCATGGAAGATGAAGGTGAAGTGAAATTTCTGCGCTCGGAACGTAATCCTCCAGTAATTCTTAGCTCTTTGCCTGACCACCGGCTTCTCCTTCTCGGCATTAGTAGTAAATCAACATTCCAAACCGTAGACCATGGCGGGTAGGTCAAGCATATAGCCCAATAACTACATCTGGAATATTTACGACAATGAAATGACATTTATCTATCATCTTCATCTTCCATCGCCCCTTCTCCTTTCGGGTCGCGGAGGCAGACGCGCCAGACAGTGCTTCCA